GAGGAGACGGGGGGACAGAGGGGAGAGTGTGTAGTCTTCTGTCCAACACGCAGACACAGAGACAGGGGGACGGCATGACTCTCGGAAGACGGGAGAGTTCAGGACGTAGGTGATGAGAACACTTTGATAAACGATTTCTGCCTAATTACAGTCACCACAGCTCTTCCACAGCCAAGCACGTCTCACCAAAACAAAACACACACTCTCTCAGACAAACACACACTTTCGAAACTTTTCCCAAATCGCACACGCCTTAATCCCGTCACAAATGAGAACGTCTGAACTTCAGAGCGAGTCGGGCCTCGGGAGGGACGGGGGGGAGGGGTGGGGCCGCAAGCGTCTCACCGCGTGACTACGTTTTACACGAGACAACCTTGACCTCGACGCACCACGGTGAGTCTGCGTGAGCGAACGTGTGTGTGTGTCTGTTTCACAAACCACCTCGGGAAGCCCCGCTCTTTAAAAAGCCCTGTGCGTCTGCGAAAGCCCCGCAGAGCGGCAGTCTCACAGTTTGTCGGCTTATTTCTGGGACGTTTCAGTGGGAAATCCTGAGAAAGTTCGCTGGTGGTTCTGTCTGGAATGGATGCTTCGGATTCATACGCCGCTGCAAACCATCACATGACGTGCAAGCAACGCACAATGAACAAGCAGCAGCTACGTCTGTTACTCAGACACATCTGAATAGTAACAAAAATAAAAATTAACTGAAGGTTAAAATGTAAAACATCACACGGGTTATGGGAAGTAATGTTTGGACAAGGTTGGGTAATAATGTAGAAATTTTGCATTAAAAACAAGCAAAGTATAATGTACAGCATACAGAGTGTGAGTGTGTGATCCCGTCTTCTCCGTCAGGCTCACACACTCAGACTCAGTGGGACAGTGGCTCAGGAAGGTGGCTGCAGGCGCTCCGGCTTCAGGCTCCAGTTTCCTCCTGATGAAAGTGCAATCCTCGCAGGTTCCTCCCTGCTGCTTTGTTCTCCTCATCCCTCCAACCTGTGGGAAGGAGGGAGCGACGGACTCCGTCAGTGTCACAACACGAGATTATCACTCTCAACACACACACACAAACTCAAAGCGACAGGAAGGAGACGTCTGTCCTTTGTTATGCTTTTGTCTTCTCAGTTTCTCTCACATTTCATTTATATTTTTTTTTTACAGCTGTTATTCATCTTCTTTTCCTCCTCGGCTGTCTGCGACTGTAATTCATGATCGATTTAGACAGTGTATTAAAACTTGATAGAATAAATCATGTAAATAGACATAATACTTGTGCAAAAACAGTAGTTTGAATGTTTTATTTGGGTGTTTTCGCTTTACAAGAGAATAGAATTGGGTTTCTTTATCTCTGGGGGGGAAAGCTGATATTGACTGAAAATATGCACAAAGTGTTTAGATGTTCAATGTCTCAAATTATATTAATTAGCTTTTATGTGACTGGGATGTTTATATTAACTTAAACATGAAAATAACCAATTTAAAAAGCATTGTAAATGGTCCTAACCTTAAAATAACGTAGTGCAATGGCAGCCAGACCAATCACAAGACGTTAATGTTTGACTGGATTTCGTGAAAAAAAGGAAGATTTTATGGGCTTATTGACTCTCCAGAATACGAGGAGATTTCATAAAACACAACAGTAAACATTTTAAAACAGAATGATTAATCTGTGTGAAGATCTGCTGAGTTTGGGTTATAGTTTCCTCTTGAGCTTTTTCTTTAAATTCAACACTTTCTAGCTTGTAAAGCTCCATTTATATTGTCGTATTTTATCATGTTTGATGTTTTTGGTGGGTTGTTTAATTGTGTTTTGTTTTTAAGTTGCTTTATATAAGGGTGCTGATTATTTTTGTTCCTTTGCGGTAACATGACTGGGTACAAAGCAGATGTATTCTGCAGTGAAAAGATGCGTGTTTTTAAAAATATATGTTTTTGCTTAAGATCTAGGAAGTGTAGCTACACTCCAATAAATATTCACAACTAGCAGGAGGTTGATTAAAGTGTTTCTGGCTTGATCGGGGATCACAAGCTGCCAAAATTCACAAGAGTTAAATGGCTCAGAAAGAACCACAATTAATGGGAAACAGTGTGAGACAATGACTTCTGAAAACTTTTTAGGTCAATTAAATTAAGACCTGAGCATTTTAATGTCAGCATATTTCATGAACACAATCAGCTGCGAAGAAGTTTAAGTCAGTAAGTTTGAAATATTTCGTATGACGATGTCCTGTATGAAAATGTTATGTTTCATTGTTTCTCAGAAACAGACACACATCCGTCACTGTTCACAACCACATTGGAGTCAAATACCAAGTATTAGTTTGTGTCCTAGTGTTGTCTAAATGTTGGAAACTGTTAGGTTTAACTTTTAAAAAGCGAAACCTTTTTTGTAATCTTTTGAAGCAGTTTTGATCAATAGTCCCATAACCTTTCTGAAGTTTTTCTGTGACCATCTTTCAGTCCAGTCCAAGGCGCCTAAACCAAAGGAGTGAACTGGTTCTGTGTTGATACCTAAAAGACGACTTAGGGAACCGGTTTGGCGTTTTGTTGCTCTGATTTCTTTGGTTGAATCTATGAAAAATACCAAAACAACTACAGTTTGACAGATAAACTTCCTCTTTTGTTTGTTTTTTTAATCTCTTTTCTATAAGTCAAGATGCTGTTAAACGGCTGCAGAAGTTGGGTTTTCTAAGCTGATGCCACTTTTGCACATTTACAAGAAGAATAAAGACATGGCTTCTTAAATCTTCATTAATTAAAAAAAAAACTTTCTATATCTTGATGCTGCCACCACCATGCTTTACTATGGGTTATATGTTGAGGGTGGTTTGCAATGTCAATCTGCTGCGTATGCAGTGTTTTTCTGTTGGTTGCACAGAATTTTAATTAGAAAACAAATGCAAGTCAGACTTCGTAGTTGTTTAGAAACTACATGGAAAATTTGAACTGCTTAACCTCCACTTCACAATTGTGGACAATTTTGGGTTGTGTTTGTGTTGGTCCATCACATAGAATTACAATAAAACACATGGTGAAGTTTGTAATGCTTGAAAAAAATCACTTTAAGCTAAGAGAATGAAGCTCAGACTACTACAAATATGTCTGAATTCAGCAGAAATAAAACAAGCTACAATCAACTACAAAGTCTTTTACATTGTTTGCTCGTATGGGGAAAAAAAGAATAGAAGAAGAAAAGTCAACTTTCTCCTTTGTCCTCACCCCCTCCCCGTCTACTTTAATGATGTCTGCGTATCCCAGGTCTTATCAGGCGACACCTGCGCTGCCGCTCAACTTCAACAGCCCAGATCCAGCCGGATCACGGTTAAATGCCCTGGGATTACAACACAGCTTAACACCAAAGCATTTAGACGCAGGAGCTGCCTTCCTGCGATGTAACAGTCCTCTGTTCGCTTTGACATGCGGTGGAGCTTAGCTGCCAAAAGACAGCTGTCCATCAGCGCCTGGCTTTGATAAAGAGATAAATCATGCCTTGAGGCTGCCACACTTTTTTTTTTTTTTTTTTTGGTGCAACAAGTTATCAAAGGCCGTATTATGCTTGAGCAATTATTTTAATGAGTCGAATGCAGCCTGCAGCGATGTGCGTTTTCATCTGAACTCGGTTCCAAAGAAAACAGTTTCTGCTTGTTTCAAGAGCCCGTTTGTAGCAACAAAAGGAGTCGAGGCGACGGCTGCCAAAGCTTGATGTTTTACCCTTTGGGTGGAAAAGTGACATCAAAAGCTGCAGCACATTGATCCCGACTCCTACAGGAGCTTAACAGAGGATAAAGAGAGGCGTGAACCTCATCCTATGCATCATCTGCACACAGCTGTCCACCGGGTTAGGAAAACAGAGCCACCAACAAAACTTCAGCTGCACCTGCACAGGTTTATCCCCCTCAAGTTGTTCCCAAACAGAACGGAAAGAGAAACGACAAAGAGTTCAAGTGCTCAGTGTCAAGATCGATTCTGATGTGTGCTTCAGGCCTTTCAAGGTTTGGACTTTTTCTTGTTTTTCTCTTTCTTTTACCCCTAGAGTGGAGACAAAACTAGCAACGAAAACAAATGAAGGCTGGGCGTATTTCTGTCTGGAAGAAAAGCAGGAAGCTTCGAGATCCGAATGCGAGCGGTTCAAAGAAGTGCAAGGAAGGTGGCAGGGTGCATATGCAGGGTCATATATCGACACACACACACCACACACAGTTATTCAACGTAAATAAACACGAGGACCGCTAGACACCCATAAGCTCGATGCATTAGCTATACCTGCTTGTCGCTTTTCACTCAGTGCAGAAGTAGCTCCCTCTGCTTAGTTCATTTCACTGACAAACCATCACAAAGTAGTGTAAAATTGAGAAATGGAATGAAAATGATATGTTTTTACATTTTGCTTAAAAATAAAAATCTGAAAAGTGCGCTGTGCGCCTGTACTCAGCCGCTTTGTCGAGCCTCCTTTAAATGTTGGTTAAAGCTACGTTTTCCTCTGCGAATTAACATCAATCTGCAATTTGTTTCGCACCAATTTTCAATCAACTTTATGTCTGGACTTTGATTGAGCCGTTCTAACACGAGTATGCTTCAATCTGAACCATTTCATTGTTTCTTTGACTGAGTGTTTGGGGTCTCTGCCTTGAAGGTGAACCTTCGGCGGAGTCTCAAGTCGGTTTGACCCTCTCTAATAGATTTTTCATGGTTGGCAATCAAATTAAACCAAAAGCATCCGACAACACGATGCTGCTTTCACAACCACGTTGTTCCCCCCATCGTGATGTTTCCAAAGTGATTTGCGGTGATGGAGTTTCACCACACAAAGCAGTGTGTTTCGTCTTGGTCTCGTCTGACCTTTTCACGTGTTAGCTGTCCCTTGTAGAAAACGTTCAATTGAATTTCTTGCGGTTTTTACTTCAACGATGCGAAAAAGTTCACAAAGCACGCAGACATTTGCAAGCGCGTCCTTTGCCCACTTGTTTTCTCGTCCTCTAATTTTTTTTTTTCTCCCCCAGCTACGCGCATCGCCACAAAGGAGAGGCCTTGTGTGCGAGGGGCCGTGACAACTGCGGCACGGTGACCTTTAATCCCTGACAGCATGGGAAAGTGGGCACTCTCAGCTGTTAGGACTCCAGCGGATCCTCCTGAGCAATAGTTTATGATCACACATTAATGGGAAGATGCACTAAAAAACACAGAGGATCGACAAAGTGCACACCAAAGAAAAAAAAAAAAAAGGCCTACGGTATATCAGGGTTGCTGTGGTTACAGCTTCACAGTGGTATACTCCCTCCAGATTCATTTGCTCGCACACACACACAAAGCTATTTAAGACCTAGAAATATTTCTGCCTCTCTCGTTATGTTCTCACAGTCCTCAGTTGCTGTAGGAATGTAAAGTATCCAGAACCCGGTTCCCCCCTAGGCCCTGGTGAACAGGATGGTGGTGAGACCCTTGATTTAAACAACTTTGATTGTTCCCATGTCACTTGCTGCAACAATCTATACACCAGAGTCCTCCGTCAGCTGCTCCGCCTCAAAGGTTTTTCCAGGAACAGATACATCCCCCTACTGTAGCTCCATTCAACCTACTGTGCACTTCATGAACAACAAGGCTGTTATTTGTTTTTATTTTTAAAAAAAGGTTATGCTTCATTGGAAAAAATCTTGTGATTTTCTTAGATTTCTACATTTTAAGTAGCGATTTAAACGATTTCGTGGTCGATTCTGGGTGTGCATGTACTCAGTTGTTTTGTTAAAATAAAATATTCTGCTGCTTTTGCACCAGGAAAACACAAGAGCTGAATGTCACCTTTCAATGCTGTGATTAAAAGACACGTTTTTCTGGAGTTTTTTTTAATTTTTTAATTTTTTTATTTTTCATTGCACTCGGAAATCAGAGATTTCGATTTGGACGCGCCGTTCTGCCCAGTTTTCTAATCCTGAATCCAGACTAAAAATGTCTGATGAGAGGAACACAGTAAAAGTGTCTTGCTTTCTGGTTGCTGTGGATCCAAATGCTTTTTGATAAGGCTGACTGCTACAAAATATTTTAACAGGTGACTTTATTTCTTCTAGCTTATAAATTATAAATTATGGAGCACTTACAATTATCTTGCAACCCAGAAAAGGAATTAGAACAAACTTAGAATCCAGAGAAACTCATCTAGAGAAACTGCCAACATTTAGGATCATCGACTTTATAAAATCAAATAGGCAGAACCAACAATTAGTTTCATGATATAAACTGTGGAGAACTTATTACTTTAGACCACATGTGTCAAACTCAAGGCCCGTGGGCCACATGTGGCCC